TGTGTGTGTGTGTGTGTGTGTGTGTGTGTGTGTGTGTGTGTGTGTGTGTGTGTGTGTGTGTGTGTGTGTGTGTGTGTGTGTGTGTGTGTGTGTCAGGACAAGTCAGCTGAGTTCTCCATTGGATCCAGTGTTGGTGTGAAGAATAGTATCTACGCTGTGCTGGTGATGGGAGTCTATGAGATCCTTATGGAGTTCACCTTCATCAAAGCCAACTACAGGTAGCACCTGGTTCTTTTCTCAGGATGTTGCGTAGCATAATGTTGTTGAGTTTGTTGTTTATTTGTTGTGCTTGCCTCTGTGTTTCAGTAAAAACCGCTTTGAGGAGCTCATGGAGCTTTTCAACCGCTACCACAAACTGTCTGAGATCCTGAAGGAGAAATCAGGAAAGGGTCGAGTGCCTTCAAACAAAACCCCCCGCAGTTTACTCTCTCTGGGCTTCATATCTACTCTCCTTACTGTGCTCTTCAGGTACATGCTGNGTGTGCCTTGGCAGTCGGAGAAATCAGGAAAGGGTCGAGTGCCTTCAAACAAAACCCCCCGCAGTTTACTCTCTCTGGGCTTCATATCTACTCTCCTTACTGTGCTCTTCAGGTACATGCTGTTTGATTATCTGTCATTCAATCAAATCAAAATTTATGAAATGATGTATAGACCTAAAAAAAATAGCTTTTTATAAATACTGTTACAATGAGGACATTTACTTCTTTCTTTATAACTTTTCTAGATAATATGTTTAAAATTAATTGAATTGCACTTTGTACAGCATTTGAAACAACAGTTAGCCTATAGCTCTTAATGAACTTCTCAGGTAGAAATGCTTTGTAAACCCATCAACTGTTTCTCACTCAGGATTTACAACACCAACACATTTCAAGAACAAAATACCACTGGATTGTTTGATGAAATTCTTAAAGTTGCATGAATATTAGAAAAATATATTTGTATTTTCAGAGACAGTACTCAGAGCAGAGAGGATGCTCTGTCAGTTCTTCGCCTAAGTGGAGAGTTTGTGCGTTATGCGGTGAACGTAGCGGTTCAGAAGATCCAGCAGCTGGAGGAGAGCGGACACACAGACGGGCCGGACGGACAGAACACAGACAGAACATTCCGCTTCCTCTGTGACATGACAAGGTCCGGCTCCTTGGCCTTAATAACAGCTCTAGTTACTCCATGTGTATGTCTGTTTTTGAGAGGTCTGTCCTTGCATTATCCAGCGTGCTGATGTGGCGCTACACCAACATCCCCAGCGCGGTGGAGGACGGGGGGAAGAAGGAGAAGCGCTCCAGCCTGTCTCTGCTGTGCCTGGAGGGTCTGCTCAGGATCTTCACCACCTGCCAGCAGCGCTTTCCAGACAGGATGGTCCAGCTCCTCTCCACCATGGGTGAGACAAGCACAGAAGCAGTGAATTCAACACTGATTATTGTTCAGAAAGTCATCACATGTTCTGTTCTGCAGACATCGCAGAGGATGACTCTGAGCCAGATGATGGCAACGCCACTGAGATGAACTTCTTCTACATCCGACAGTTTCAGGTGCATCCAAACGGAATGTATTTGGTTATTCTCTACATATTTTAAAAGTTACAAACATGTATTTTAGGATTAAACAGCTAAAGGTCTTGCGTATCCATCGCTTCTTTTAATTGATAAAATGAAACTTCGCTTCATATCTATCTTAACTGATTTTACTGAAGGCATGTCAGGCTAAACATAATTTTCAATGTTATACGAGGAGTTAGGTTTGCCTGAGATGTTTCAATGTTTGAAATGCAGTGCACTTGTTCATGTCGTCTGAAATCCAATGTTCTCTTCCTGTCAACAGAGGGCGCTGTTCACTCAGCTAAGTGGAGGAGAGGAAGAATTTAACAGCAAGGAGGCTCAGCTGCTGGTCAGCATCCTGACTGTGCTCTCACGCCAGCTGAAGCCCGCCTCCCAACAGGTAGGGGAACCTCTGAAGAGCACTTCATACGAACACCTCTCTAGCACCTTCTCCCCTAACACACGTTTACATCTGCAGTTTGTACAGATGATTACGTGGACTGTAAAGATCTGTAAGGAGACCAGTTTTGGTGAGTGGGGGTGGGTTAATGAATCTTTGCGTTCATGCACAGTAAGGGGGGTTCTTCTGAGATCTCTTTCTCTCTTCTAGAGGATTCTGCTTTCTCCAAGGGTCTGCTGTCTCTTCTGTTCAGCCTGCATGTTCTCTACAAGAGTCCTGTGAGCCTGCTGCTGGAGCTCTGCCAGGACATCCACAGCCAGCTGGGGGACATCGATCAGGTACACACACACACACACACACACACACACACACACACACACACACACACACACACACACACACACACACCTTTCAAAACAATCGCAAGGCCCAGGGTAGCATCAGTGCGTATACTTGAGGAAAAGGGATTTCGCTTAAGTCATATACAAATGATGCACAATTATGGCATGATATTATGTTAGAGCGAACTTACAATAGAGTCANTAGTGTTAATATCTTTCCACCAGTGCCCTTGTTGAAGTATAAAGCCCCAGATACACCACCGGCCCGAAATCAGGCAAAGGTAAATGGGAGTCGGGCATGAAACATGAGCTGTGGAACGGCCCCTATTCGGAAGGCGTGTGCGCCGCACCCGTTGGTGTTTTTCTGCGAACCTGACGCCTTTTCGTGAATCGGGCGTCTGGGGGAAACACCCACCGGAAGTTCGGGACAACAAGGCAATAACACTGTTTGGACTGGATCATAGCTAGCGAATCAGTGCGATTGAGGAGCGTTAGGGAGTGAAGGGAGGAAAACAAGGTGATTTTAAATGGGAGATGGACCCACACTGACGGACGGGGCTTTTAACCCATCGTTTTATAGAGCCTGTCAGTTCTTGTTTTCCAAACTGGACGAGAGTAATAATGGAAAAAAAAACCGCATTTGTGGTTTAGATTATATCCACCGGGGAGTCAGTTCTTCTTCTCTTGTTTCCCGGTTGTTCGGTGGTTGTCCTCTTTTGGAATGATGATACACGAATACCCGCCGGCAATGCTTGTGGCAAGGAGAGTTATTCAAACTTCACGCGAAGCCGGCTTTCATACAGTGCTCGGCATCGGATTTGGCGGTTTGTGTGCCAGGTGCGCGAGTCTGGGGGGCAAATACGCAAGAAGCCGGCGACCGGGCAACAGTCGGGAATGTCGGCGACTTCTTCAGTGGCTACTGGCCGGGGTATTCTGGGCCTTAATGTGGATAAATAGATGAATACGAACAAATGGGCTTGGCGGGATTTTACCAGAGAGTTTATTACTCTAAATCCATTTTATTATCTTCATTTACAGTGGGGCAAAAAAGTATTTAGGTTCAGGCCACCAATTGTGCCAGGGTTTCTCCCGACTTAAAAGATGAGAGGAGCCTGTAATTTTCCACTCCTAGGTATTACCTTGAATATGAAGAGGGCAAATGAGGAAAAAAAAAAATCCAGAAAATCACCTTGGTTCGATTTTTAAAGAATTTATTTTGCCAATATGGTGGAAAATAAGTATTTGGTCACCTACAAACAAACAAGATTTCTGGCTCTCACAGACCTGTAACTTCTTCTTTAAGAGCCTCCTCTGTCCTCCACTTGTTAACTGTATTAATGGCACCTGTTTGAACTCGTTATCAGTATAAAAGACACCTGTCCACAACCTCAAACAGTCACACTCCAAACTCCACTATGGCCAAGACCAAAGAGCTGTCAAAGGACACAAGAAACAAAATGGTAGACCTGCACCAGGCTGGGAAGACTGAATCTGCAATAGGTAAGCAGCTTGGTGTGAAGAAATCAACTGTGGGAGCAATTATTAGAAAATGGAAGACATACAAGACCACTGATAATCTCCCTCGATCTGGGGCTCCACGCAAGATCTCACCCCATGGGGTCAAAATGATCACAAGAACGGTGAGCAAAAATCCCAGAACCACACGGGGGGACCTAGTCAATGACCTGCAGAGAGCTGGGACCAAAGTAACAAAGGCTACCATCAGTAACACACTACGCCGCCAGGGACTCAAATCCTGCAGTGCCAGACGTGTCCCCCTGCTTAAGCCAGTACATGTCCAGGCCCGTCTGAAGTTTGCTAGAGGGCATTTAGATGATCCAGAAGAGGATTGGTAGAATGTTATATGGTCAGATGAAACCAAAATAGAACTTTTTGGTAAAAACTCAACTAGATGTGTTTGGAGGAGAAAGAATGCTGAGTTGCATCCAAAGAACACCATACCTACTGTGAAACATGGGGGTGGAAACATCATGCTTTGGGGCTGTTTTTCTGCAAAGGGACCAGGACGACTGATCCTTGTAAAGGAAAGAATGAATGGGGCCATGTATCTTGAGATTTTGAGTGACAACCTCCTTCCATAAGCAAGGGCATTGAAGATGAAACGTGGCTGGGTCTTTCAGCATGACAATGATCCCAAACACAAATGTGATTTTCTTTTCTCATTTTGTCTCTCATACTTGAGGTATACCTAGGATGAAAATTACAGGCCTCTCATCTTTTTAAGTGGGAGAACTTGCACAATTGGTGGCTGACTAAATACTTTTTTGCCCCACTGTATGTTTCCATTGTAATGTGTCTGTGTTTATTATATCTAAACACATCTTAAACAAATGTTTAAACTTATGAAATAAAGTTTTTTTTAGCCTGTACATTTGAGTACAATAGACATAAACTGTCTACAATTCTGGATGTGCATTTTTATCAAACAAAATGTTTGTAGCAAACATTTAGCAAGTATACTGACTAGCATTCATTGGAGGCCAATATGATTTCAGCCTGTTGGCCACAATCTGAAACAATAGGCACACTGTGTCTTTCACCACTGTAACTGGAGCAAAGGCAGCTACAATCAATCCACATATACTTGGAATTTACACTGTATGCAGTTTACCATACAGATGAGTTCTTACCATTGCCTGCAGGTGCGAGGGTAGACCTCGTTGCGAGCCATAACGCCGAGGGGCAGGACGAAGGGCTGGGATTCAGGAGGGCTGATGCTGCTGCTGGGCTCCGGCGGGGGGCTGTCTGTACCGGTAACTCGCTCTGCCTCCACACCTCCTGCTGCGGTGACATCACTGCAGGCCCCCTCCGCTGTAGCAGTGTCCATGGCCTGTTGTTGTTGTTGTGCCCTCTGGACTTCCTCGTGTACCCCCAGTACCAGCCGGGACAGCTCCTCTATATTGCGCTGATGCTTTAAGTCTGGGAGGACCACAGGTCGACTCAGGTCAACATCCAGAGTGAGCTGCCCTGCAGGAACATTGGGGTCTCCCTGCAGGAAGGAGTACAATTATAATTTTAAACACTAGCCGACTCATTCTGTGGGTTAACGTGATATCCTCTTGGTCAGAATTGTGTGAATGTTCAACTCAAAAAAGGCACTTGGTTTGTGGGAGTGTCTGTTAAAAATAATAAAAGAATAGATGTTGAAGGGGAGGATAGGAGTGAGAGTACATTTAAGGGACAATAATTCATCCATAGAAAATCAACATTAAGGCTGAGTGATATAAAGAATCAATCAAATATCATGATATTCTTAACCAAAGATAATGCAAATGTATTGTAGGGTTGTTTGGTTTAGTTTATTGGTTAATAGTGTCGTGGACAGCCCCCATAATCAACTGTCAAAAAAAAGTAAATGGGGCAGCTTTAGCCAACATTGCTAATTTCCAGCTGTTGTCCCCGGCCAGATAATAAAAGACACCCTTAAAATCACAATACATCAAAAGCATTAGTTATAAAGAAATGATGAAAGACAAGTAGATATAGGCAAAAACGTTGATGGTAGACGTTTTCCCAATGTTTACACAGTGGAATTGTTGATAATTAATCATATTTTACAGCAGACTGTAAGTTCATAAATGTTATCACTTGCCTGTAGGGAACACAATATCTAGTCTGCTATCACAATAATGATATAAAATTGATAAATTGCCAGACACTAATCACTTGCATGAGGGCATTTCTGTTAGGCAGAAAACCATCCAGTAAGGAGATTTACTTACAGTGAGCTTGGTGGCTCTTGCAGAATTCCCGTGGAAACTGAGCATGACGATCTCCAAACCGTGGCTGCCGTAAGTGCCTTTGAAGAGGCCTGGGCGCAGCAGGTCAGAGGGCATTGTAGGCGGCAGGTAGATCCTCCGGTATGTCAAGCAGTTACTTTCAAAACAAAGCAGATACAAATTCAGTCTGACTTTTGCTACTATTTAACTGTAGGTCTTAAAAAATATGTAGCACCATGATTCACATGATGAATCGCTTTCAATGTTTAGCCAGAGCTGAATTCAATTGATGGGTTATTTATTCACCCATAAACCATTGTTGTAATTATTGTTTATCTTATAACAGCTACTAGTTTAACGTAGAGACTCATACTCGTATTGACTAGTATAAATGAACTTCATCAGGATGAGCTCCTGCATGTGCTCATGGAAGATTTCTTCTAGCGTCCGGCCCCATTCTTCCTCCAACCATGTCCTGAACTCCTACACACATTAGAGGAATCAGTAAAATGCTGAAAACATTCTTTACATTTCAACAATATCAACAATATAAAGTACATGAGGTTTAAACACATGGGTAAGAACATGTTTCAGCTACAAACAGTTTCCTTACCTCCTGTCTGCCCCCTGGCATGCGGTGGTGATCAGTCTGGCTACACTTTGTTGAAAATTCATCTTTCTTCCCAGTCTGAAATGAACAGAATATGACAAATATTTTAAATGCGATATGCTTTTATTTATATCCAACATTTAACTGAATGAGGAAAACTACACAAATATCCAGAGTATGTAGAGCTGCACATTTCTTTGGTGCACAGGGAAGCTTTTATGCTGGGTAATCCCTCACCTGTATGTCTCCTTTGTGGGGACCCTTGTGTCCATACATACACTCCACAGTGGATTTTTTGCTCTCCCACAAATGGATACGGAAGAGTGGCCGTCTTCTCATGGGATCCTCCACCCGTGGGTCATGAGGAGGTAAATACATCCAGCCGATGATGAACAGCCCATCAACCTGAGTGGACATTTAAAAAATATTTAAAAATAAACAGTGGGGCCTGAGTGCATTTATTGATAGATGCAGTGTTGAAAGGAGGTAGACAGAGGGTATGATATTCTCTGATAGTTTTGCAAGCTTGAGTGAAACCTGCGTATTGCAGTATATAAAACCACCAGCTTCAATCACTGAGCTCTCCTGTGGCCCGTGAAAATTCCTTTAATAATGTATCAGCCGTTAAAGACATTTCCTGACAGGAGATTAAAAGCTGACTATTGCTGCATTATAAATGACTTATTTCAAAAGAGAGCAAAAAAGTGCACACTGATTATCTTTTTAATGCATACGTCTCAATTGAGGAACATTACTTACCACAACGTTAAGCAATCCGCCATAAGGCCCTATGTCAGGCTGCCATAAACCAAAGATCTGTCTGTATGGGTGAAGCACTGCAACACAAGAGCACAACATCACACCACACTCATCAGTTTCTGAAATGCAACACCCATGCTTTACTACGAGCTACACCGTGCACAGGGTTACAAACCCAAGAGGTTATGTTAGAGTCTGCAGATTTAAATGTCAGTTTAATGTCTGTCCAGATGGGGACCCAAAAGGAAGAAAGGGGCTGACCACACTCACACAGCACACCAAATAATCTGGCCTCCCATTTCACACTTAATATGAAAGCAAACAGCGCTGAGGAGAATTATTAATGGGGATGCACAATAAATATATCAGGACAATACATTTTTGTCTGATAATGGCAAAAAGGAAATTATAACAAATTAAGTATCTGAAGTAAGAAGAAGAAGAAAAGTAAGGAGAAGAAGAAGGAGTGGATGAAGACGAAGCTGTACATTTTCTTTATATAGTTTACTACTGATAATGCAATTGTTTAAAATGTTTTTTAAAAAGTACGATAATCTCTAATCCTATTTAAACAAAATGTTCCATTAGAAGCAAGTAATAACAAGTAATTGGTAGAGCCTCAAAGAAATCCATGTTGCGCATCCCTAAATTATTAACAAGTTTACCGTTCACATACGGGATTAATAACACTGCTGCAGCTGCTTGCTTACAAATTAAACCATAAGTCCCATTCACACAAACCCTCATGCTACGGCCATCCACGTTGAGGCCATTGTACATACAGTGTGTATACACGTCTCTATAGTCCATGTGCTCGTAGTCCGGGAGAAGCTTCATAAAGCGCCCTGATTTCACCCGTGGGTTGACACCTGGATAGGCACAACACAGCCATGTGTAGAGCAGCCGCAGACCGAGGGCGGCTCAGCCCAGTGCGGCTCTATGCGATGCAGTATTGTGCCAAAATCTATTCAAAGAGCCGACAGGTGCCACCACTGGTGCGTTTTGCAGCAACTGGTATTTGAAAATAAACTCAAAATCTCTGCTGATAAACAAATGAGGAACATATGTGAGAGACCATTACAAAAGGCTGTACCACTGATTTTCATTGAAATCACAGCCTAAATTAGGGACACCTAATCCACATACACAAGAAAGTATGAGCGTGTTTGTAAAAGCCAACATTTTTACAAATCCATTATATAAAGATACACTATGTGTGGCCATCACTGAGAAATAAAAGACAATTATGAATGATTTATTTAGATTATTTGATACTGATTTATGATGTTGTGGTTCTTTATTATATTTGATTTGTGTTTGTTTTGTTACATTGCTCTTTTCAGTAGAATTAAGTTAATGTTTTTTTTAAGGGGAGCACCTTAAAAGGTAGGGTAGGTAAGAATGGAGAAACCAGCTCGAGTGCGCTAGAATTTGAAAGTACACAACTGGAAAAAATCTGCCTCTTCCTTCAGACGTCCTTACAGAGCCCCTCCTCCAACACACACGAATGCGCACATGACCAATGAGGGCACGAGATAAGTTTGTGCACAGATGGAAGGCTGACAGGCAGGTAGGCCATCCAGTTATTTTAGCCGGGCCGGCTAAAATGATTGGTCGTGCTTTTTACAGCGCCACGGCTTCCACAGATGAATTTTTATGTATTTATTGTCAAAGCATTTAATATATTCATTGCCATCGGATGTTAAGAGCATTCCATGGAATATAACAAGTGTTTCTGAAGTGAATTACCTTCCCCACCTTTAAGCTCTGTTTTCAGGCTACATTTCTTTTATCATTATTTTTTATATAATGATCTAGTATCACTTAACCACTTTTAATGTGGTTAAGAGATACACAATGTGTTGTATTGTAAATAAATGATCAACATTTTTTTACTAACTAACTAATGTAGAAATGAACCAAATACTTAATTAGTTCATTTACAATGGTGACATGAGAGCTGTTTTATCAATCAATCCAACTCACGTTTAACATAAATGTCCCGGCTAGATACTCCTTCCACCTCCATCTTCCTCAGATCCTCCTTCATTCCAAACTCTGCAAAAACAGAAGGCAAGAGAAAATATCCAATTAACAATACATTTCATTTGTTGATGCTATTATTTCAAAGTGTCTGTACCAACGTGTTTACTTATTATGGCAGATTAATGCAAAAATATCAACACTTAATAATGGCAACAGTCAGATTAACTCTGATTGATGTTGTAGGACTAAACAAAGGGCAGTGAAACAGGTCATTTGCACAGCAGCCAGCAAAATGGGCTGAACTTCAGTCAGCAGACACCGATAAGTAGATCTGAGCCAGATTCACAATGATTCACAAGATTCAACACACAGCTGGCCTGAGGCACAAGTGAACTAAACTGCCACTATACACAGCCTGCAGTTTCCTGACTCCTTGATTCCTTTATAGTGCATAATGGTGACCCCAGACAACTGCTCATGTTTTTAAAACTCAAAACTCACAGTGCACCAAACGTCAGATAACATAGGCCCATTTTTTAGCATTCAAAATGTAATTCATAATGTGATTAAAACTATAAACGCAGTGCGTTCTCACACAAGAGAAGCTGGAATGAGCAAATAACTAATATTTTAATGTATAAATGATTCTAAGTATGGCTGGGCGATACAATTATTATTGATGTTTGTACTGTCAGAGTTGTTTCAACACCATATATTTTGTGGTATTGATCGCATCTGCACACATGTAAATATATGTAATAACCCAAGCTCAAATATGTATATATGTTCATTCTAATTATCAACGTTTTACCTTGTTGTGATATCTAATTTGAACTGTTACTTATATTATGTTATTTTATATTTTATTATCCTTGTGTGAATCTGTACTGTTTTTCAGTGTCACTCTCTTGCTGCTTTAAACTCCTGAAAAGGTACATCTTATCTTATCTTATCCCATTATGTTTGATTAGCTTTTGTGGGCAATGTTGTACATTAATGAGCAGATCTGCAAGCTGACAATATGGATCTTTGTGTGGTTATGTTGTCCATTAATAACTTCTTGTTTGATTTACCAAAAAAAGTATTTTGCAATAAATATCTTACATGTCATAATAGAGTAACTTTGGCACTGCCCATTACTTTCGTGAAACGAATAGATTGGAAAAAAAGTGTTTTGGGATTATTTATTTATTTTTTCTTTTAGCAGCGCATCTTCATATTTTGCATTGTATGCATATCTTATTATGTATGAGTTATGACTATAAGACATAGTTGTTCAAACCTGTAATAGTGCAGTCCCCTGACTAACAACATGGGCTGGGGGTGGGGTGGTGATGATAACAATGCAGCAGGCCCCCAAAGGGTTAGCACCACCCTGCATCAACAGTCTCTTCGGCTGCAGAGATTGGCTGGCCCTACACCAGTGAGAGGCCATAGTCTATCCCTTACAGCAGCACTTTACTAAAGATGCAATATATGTTAACATAATACAACGCTTACTGTAGCATTATAATGTTAAAGTATCTCTATGTCCACTAATAGCTATGTGTACCTTCCATGCACCGCCTTCTCCAGATGGTTTCAGTGTTAAGGATTTGTCTGAATTTCTTGCATACGAGGGCAACATTCGGTAGTGCAGTTCCAGGAAGCAAGGAGAACGTTTCCACTAAAAGCTCCGGGGGTAACTCCGCTAATGATTGCGGGTGTTGAGGTCCCGTGCTCGTGCTATCCAGAGAGCCTCTGTTGACATGACCGCTGCCATTTTCGCAAGCGTCACTCGGCCCTGCAGTGGCGGCTCCGCTCTCCGGGCCTCCGCCGCCGCCAGCGTCGCTCTGCTTCAGCCCCACGATCTGCTCCTCTTCTTCCTCGTCCATGTCAGAATCGCTCCCCTGACCCTGCTGGTTTTGCCGCTGTCGCCGCCGACACCTCCGCGACTGACCCACTCCGCAGAGCCTGGCACAGACAGCCATTCGTATTCACTAAACAGGCAACATTACATCACATTTATCAGCTGCAGCAGTCTGGCTCATCTGCTCCTGTCCTTGTGAGCATGGGCAGAGACATTCCTTCCGACGTCACGTCAGTGCACGTAAACAGCGTAGCAACTTATCTTACCCCTCCCTTACATCACTATCGAAAGAAATGATACAAGCCTAGAATGTGGTATTATTACGTAGCTTTGTGAAGAAGAAGATTCATGCTTCACATGCCGTCTCTCACAGCCCTATTGTAGTTGGCAGCTTGTATTACCCTCCCATTATTAGCTCATAAAAGCTTCAAAGGGTCCAGATATAAAGAACGTTTCTGCACCTTATGCGTTGGTGGGGCATATATCATAATTGCACACATGCACTTCAAACATTACATTTTACATAAAGTGTTATGCATAAATAAATACATAGCCAGACGCGCCTGGCAGACACACACAGTAACCCCCTAATTCTCCATAATAAAGGACCTTATTTTAAATTGATTTTGACCTACTTTATTTTTTATTTAATTAAGAAGTATAACTCGCACATTTTTTAAATACTTTAGTGGTTTGTTTTCATATATATTTTCCTTAAATTACACAATTGGCACATTTGGCTAACTTTATTGGATCCTCCCATATAGCTGTTAAAAGAAATGTACACGCTGCACGACCTGTGAATCGAGCTCATTCTTGGTAGTGACAGCCAATCACGTTCCCGTCTGCTACCAAGATTTTACCAAGAATTGTGATTTATGTCCAATCAGCGCTCGAATCGCTACCAAGAATTGACCAATCCGCGTCTCCAAATGTTAGGCGACTCGGCGGATACCGGCGAGCGAGAGTACTTCTCTTCCCAAGATTACGAAATGAAGTACATCATTTATAGAAATGGTAAACGTTTATAAATTACCTTATTTATTATATATATTTATATATTTTGTAGTAAACAACATTGTTGTTCAGTAACATTTTACTAACGACTAGCGAAACGGTTTAGCTACCCATCAGTGCTTGTTTTACGAAAGCGGTTTTGAGAATACCTAAACTACTCTATTATAATGTTGTCAATATAACGTCGAAATATCTGACAAACTAACCTGCCTGTTTATGACATTACACAGTGAATGTAAAGGACTGACTTAACTACGGGTAATTAGGCCCTTAAACAGCGAGTCTGCATTGGTACGTGTCTTAAAAGCGGTCCGTGTATGTTTCGTTGGTTTGATATTTATTGATTTACCCACTAAATGTAATTGTTTTGCACAATTTATGGTAGTGGGGCGGCATATTATTGGTTTATTATCGGAATAAATGTTGTTAACAATGCAAGAAGATTGCCTCTCAAGTTATGGATTGACAGTGAAAAAGTTCGAGCTAGCCAGGATTCGAACCTAGAATCTTCTGATCCGTAGTCAGACGCGTTATCCGTTGCGCCACTAGCCCGAGGCGGAGGTCTTTGGATCATAAATGACTTTTAATTCCAGCTCATCTTCGTGAACAATCAAAACGAACGGTTCTAATAAAGAAAAGCCAAAAGAAACAACCAAGCCCTGTTACCAATGCCCCCATTGATACACCCATGTGCAGCTAATCACCGCCACCAAGTGTTCAAGATAATACTGCAAGATATGCATATTTATTAAAGAACATGAAATTACATGCCAACAATAAACACAACAGTCTGCTTCTATATGTTATATTTTAACTGGAATGTATACAGATATATCAGGTGTATGGCCAAGTGGGTTCGCCTACACGGAATTTGCTTTGGTGTGTATGGTGCATACATAGTAAGTAGACATTACATTGTTAAATTGTAAGAAAATGACCAAAAGTAAGCTATTAAAAAACACCCTTTTAATCGTGTATCTACCGTCCAATTGTTTTTCTTTATTAAACACCTAAACGGAAGAGCGTCTGAAAGACGTTTTTGCTTTTTGCTTTTTACCCGGAGGAGGTAAACTACTCCCACAAGTACTATGAAGTACTTTTACTGTGTACTTTTTGAGTAATCCTCTGTCAATGTCCCCTCCTGAGTACAAGAATGCATGTTTCTCTGCTATTTTGAATCAGCGTTAAAACAACTTTCTTCATGAGACTTATTGTTGGACAGAGTATAGGATATGACATGATATCAGCAATACTTCCAGGCAGCAGCATTTTTACACCTTGGAAAGTCTTTAGAGACTGGCCTTCAGCAAAGTGACAAACCCTTGTGACTTTTGTTGGCCTCTTATGACAATGCTGTCTTTTAAATAGGACTATTTCTCTACTCCAGTTCATTCCTCGCAGATTCTTCCATCAGTCCCAGTTATTGCATGTCAGTCAATAGAGATTCAAAAAATGTGTCCAATTCAACAAAAAAAATGTTGTGAGTGAAGGCCAAATTTACTTTGAAATGATTTCTCACAAAAATCTTTATAGTAAATTGTAAAAAAAGTTTTAGTCAATATATATGTTTTTCTGCCTAAAATAGTTGAAATTCAACGTAAACTATATCAATCAACCCATTTTTGCCCACTATTTAAATTGACTTTGGTTGAAGTTAACAATATTGATATCATATAGATATATAGCATATCATTGATGCATTCTTGCTGAACACTTTTAAAATAAAATACTGCAAATGAAGAATATTTGTAACTTGAATTTGAAAAAACGTGGCAACTTTATTAATAGAGCAGATGAAAATATTTGTGGAAGGATAAATTCTTCATGGGCTTCAATGGCTCACTAGATAAAGGGCGTTTTATGGTTGCTTGTATTATCCTCAGCATGGTTTGTTTAAAAAACTAGTGACATTTTAATAAATATTGGAGAAAAAAAGGCTCTAAATGTAAAATGCTGCTGCCGGAG